CTATCAAGTGCACGTCACTTCCGGTGACACGCCTACCCCAACTCTCGGATATCGAGTGTAGAGTTTACGTCGTCTGTGGCGGATATGTTCTATAGAATAAGTATAAAACACCGGGGTGAAAGTGCACGTGCGCGAAAAGGGTGGTATTGGATGCAGAACAATACTCCCGTCACTATAGCATTAATGACCGTTTTATACATATTATTACGAATTGTAAGATGTTTCGAGAAAGGACGTCATACCACAACGTATAATAGTTTCCCTTTTCACATCTGTTACCCTATGGCAGAGTAAATCTTCTGTTTCCAGACTTCAATCTGTTATTGCTTTTGGCGTCGGAGTTGGAGCCAATGTTCTTCTCAGATATGCGGTTAGTTAGTCCTGGTCCATGATGGCATAGGAAAATATTTCTGATGATGTTTTTGGAACTCTTACAGAGATGTAGCTAAACTCCGTTTTCACCCATTCACTGAATGGAAAAAATTGAGCTATAGAACTGTAGAACTTATGGAACTTCTCGGCGCATTTGGGAGAAGTTTCGAAATTCAAACATGACATCAGCGGAATGCATTTGGGGGGAGGATTTTGAGCGGAAAAGGGAGCCCTCTAACAGCGTTAGCGGGAATTTTTACATAGATTTTAGTATATAGACGCGCAAAGGGAGGGCGAACGGCGTCGTGGAAGCACTGAATATGCCACTCTGAGACATATCACGGGCCAAAATATTGGGCTCGTGATATGTCTCAGTTCAGTTGCATTACTTCGATTCACGATCAGGTTTACTTCCCTTCGTTAAAGGCAAAAGTCGGGCTCAATAAGGGGGTATTATGGCGATTGAAACTGAGTATAGAGATGCGAAGTGGAACGACAGTGGAGAAAAAACTGAGAAAAACCGTCGACAAGGCCGTTAACAAAACCCTCTTTCCCACTAGCAGTGAAGGAGGCTGGCTTGGGGAAAGAGGCACGTACAAACAAGTTTTCTGGAGATGTCAGTCGTTCTATCGGTTGATACGGCAATCAACCTAGCTGATTTCACACGTTATGCCAGCCACGCACCACTTCCGGGAGGTGGGCGGGCTCGTTTGGGATTCTGAGCATGGTAACGTCTCTGTGGGTGCGCAGCCATGCACAAAGACGACAAAAGGGATTGGTTTGGTCCATCAAGCCTGACTCGTGCCTTTAAATGGACGAAGTAAAAGAGCTCGTATAACTTCGATTTGTTGTGTAATAATGCATTGAGACTCTAGCTGAGAGAAGCAATTTTGTAATTTACTTCAATGATCCATTTTTATCCTTAAATTGTTCTGTTATAGCTTTTGAATCAACGACGCCTGGACGCATTGATCCTTGTGAACTGTGTGGCAAATACTGCTGGCTGGATTGAATGGGCATACCAAAAGGTGAAACATTAACATATTCGTACAATGAAAATGATGACGAGTTCTCAAATTCACCTTCTCGTTGTCTTGTTTCTTGACAGTTTTATCCGAAATTGTGGATTAAATCAAAAAAGTACAACTTAAAAACCCGCATGAAATGTGGTTTCACTGGCTTTTGTAGACAGTGTTGTTTCGATTTCCTTCGAGTGTTTTATTGCTCGCTCTCTGCTACTTTCACTTAGAGCACTATTTTGCCATTAATTACAACGGGAATTTGCTAACTCTAAACAGTGTGGGTATCGAGCAATACGAAGTTTTGGTTGCGATGTGTTTCATCGATCGTCCAGCAAGGAGCGCCATATATGCCATTACACAGTTCCCACGATGTGCAATAGGATATAATAGATTTTCAAGCGGTTTAATAGGTGTTGGCAGATATATGTCGTTTCACTTGAACCATGTAAGTTGCGTTTCAGATGAACCTTCGTTACCTTCGTGGTTCTGGAATGAACACCTTCACGGTTGACTATCTCATGTGGCACCATTTTGGACGTCGCTTGGACGGAGTGTAGTCCAGACATTGTGCGTCAGTATCGTGTGTACTTTCAGCACTTACCGAATCCCACAAATTTGGCGATGTTCATGAGATCCTAATGTCAACGTGAGTGTATTTTTTAATATTTCCCATGAAAGCATTGAGGGTTGTCATATCAGCTCCATGTCTCGTGTTGCTCCTTAAGCAGGTGGGTAGTAATTTCATAAAATGGGCCGTTTTTGGCCGCTTCATAAAGTTTGTATATGAATGGTTCGTCATCCGTTGGCTGATCTGTTTCTGCCGAGCGAATGCTCAATTGTATGCTTTTTAGCCGTTCTGCCATTGCGATATCGCGAGATGGTCAAAATGGCCCTCAGTTGAATGTACCTGTACTGCAGATTGTTGGTGCTGGAAGCCCATTTGTGAATGACACTGTGGAGGTGAACACGAAACTGGATCCCGCCCATTCGGATTGGATTAAGGTAAATTTAGAATTCTTGGACCTGTATGTAGACAGAAGGTTCGCAACATATGAACTTAGCTAGCCGGATCTGGAACTGTGACGCAGTATGTCACATTCACATCAGTGTTCCATATTACTCAATCTCGGCATATGAAATGATGTGACGCTCTTGCTGAAGGCATTACAAGGAATCAAAGAATCATTTTTGCTTAGGCTAAATCGAACTTCCATTTTTGTGACAGACATACTATGACGTTAATAGAGCGAACGCAGTGGAGTGAACTTTCACGATCTGTCCGTTACCAATGGGTGGATAGAAGATCAATTCCTACTGTTTTGCTCATTGTTGTTGCTTGTTCCGCTGTATGTTTCCTATATATCGTGGTAGACAGAATTTTTCCTTAGGTCTCGGACGCTTGTGGTCTTGTGTTGGACGACCGCCCGGAAGTTGTGACAGAGAGCATGATGCTGTTCCTACAAGGACTTGGTTTCTGTGGAGTTTTTCTTCGATGTATTTAATGGTTCCGGTTATTTTCAAAATATCACTGTTTTCTTTCCCTTTGTAAGATGCAACCACTTTTTTCATTTTGAGTGGTTGTTGTCACGCATCCGACTTCTAGTTACTCATTATTTAGTAGCGGCTTATTTAAAAACGTCTCATTATTTGTATGATTAGATTCAGAAGCCCAACTGTCAGGTTTAGTCAACCAAATAAGGCTCTGCACTATTTTCGGAACGAGTCATCGAGTGTGTTCGATGTAGGCAAGGGGAGGGAGTGGCGTTAATTTGGTTTCTCTGTTACTGGGTGTGGTTCACTAGGACAGAAAGCGACTTTTTCGCGTTTCGCAGCGCGAAACATTTTTCGCTGCAGGAACCTCAGGTCCACCGCTGATCATGAGTGGACCTGGAGTTCCTGCAGCGAAAAATGTTTCGCGCTGCGAAACGCGAAAAAGTCGCTTTCTGTCCTAGTGAACCACACCCCTGTTACTTCGGGACCTTCTTCTTCCTAAGCAGCTGTCATCTTGTCCGACGTTTTACATTAATTATATAGGTATGAATTCTCAAACAAGTAGACTCATGTTTTGTGATATTTTTAGTCCCAACCATGAATGTTGTGAAACTGATGATGAAGGAAGTCAGGGACACTCAAAATGGTTCATACTCGGCAACGTGCGGTCACGTGAATGAATGTTGAAATTTATTTATTTGCGTTTCATTACATATTTACTGTGTTTGCATTTGATATTCTTTAGGTCCATTGTATGACGCCCCCTTTGTTTTCGATTTGCCTCTGTTGAGCTTGTTGTGCATACATTTTGTGATTGTATAGGCACTGGTGATTTCATACGGCTATTTAGGTCTCATTTAATGTTTTTTTCCTTTTATAGTTTTACGTGCGTTTTTCGCAAGGCAATCTCTGCGATGGTCGTTTTCCTCGTGGCGTTTTCGTTTGACGAAAATGTAATGTCCCTTACACGCTCGTTCCTTCATAGATCTTACCTATCTCGACTTCCAAGAGTTTTATCTATTGTCTTCGATGCAGTTTCTGGTCATGTTCTCTAAATGTGATGCCTTTAATACTAATATTTGAAGCATGTCATATGATGTTCAGGTTTTGCATTGTAAAAAATGCTAAAATAAAGAGAGTTTATGATGGAGTGGTGGTTACATTTTTTCCATAACTATGAATCTGGTTGCTCTTTTGTGCCATTCAAGTATTTTCTGTTTTTGGAGCTTATGTTTTGTGCAGCTTTCATGCTTGCAAATGTTTCAAAATTCACTTTGGGTAGACCTTCGAAGGTTGCTTGAAAAGCTTGCTTGCGTGAAAAACTTGAGACTTGGGAGGCGATTGTGAATTGTAATTCCTTTCCTCCAAACGCTTTCCATTTTTGTCTGTTGCAATGTTCAGGTTTGGGAGGGGACGAGCGTTTAGCTGTTCCAGTGCTTACTACTGCAAGGATTCCTGGGTTGGATTAACTGTCTTCTTCTGAGACAGATTTTTCTTTCAATGAGTGTCTGAAAGTGAAGCTGCAATAGATTGTGCGCGCTAGAACACTTGGACTTTACCGATCATCAAAGGATACAACAATGTTGAATTAGTTAATATTGCTTGCTGGTGCGAGACCGGGCACAAGCAATTTCTTTTGCTTCTTTCTGGGGGAGCTTGCCAAAATCAAATGTACAGTTACAAGGAAGACGTAATTTTGACTTGTTTTGTTTGTTAACTGCTGTTTTGGCCGCAGTTCGCGTTGCGAATGTTTCACAAGAATGCTGGGTTGTGAACAAAACTTTCGCCCCAGGCGGGACTAGAACCCGCACCTCTCGCTTTCCGGGCAAGTGCGCTACCAGTTACGCTACCGGGGCACCATTTCATCCCAACTCAGCTTTTCAAATGAAATGTTGGATGAAATGGTGCCCCGGTAGCGTAGCTTGGAGCGCATTTCTCCGATAAGCAAGAGGTGTGGGTTCGAGTCCCGTCTGGGGTCGCAGTATTCTTGTGAAACTGTGCATTAAATTTGAATTTCTGCTTCCTGAAACTCATAAAGACTAATCGATTGCATGTTTTCAAGTGGAGTTTCAAAATGTTATGCTATTTGGTCATGATAATGCTCATTCTTGCAGAATGGAAATAGTAGAAACTATACAGAATTTAAATGAGTATTGGGGACCTCCGTCATTGAATTGGTTCGATTACTTCGTAGATGCTCAAAAATTATCAACGTTACTTGCGGAGCCGGGGAATAAAGGTACGTGTGCAGCGGTAATTATTTCTTCCTAATTTGATTCGGAATTCAAAAGGTTGAGGTTCGATTACTTAAAGTCTCTCCGTCTAGTTTTATTGCCATCTTTCGCAGAAACCGTGGGTGGTCTAGCGCTCCAGTTCGCAGAGCAGGCAGCATGTACGCAGAAGGAAGCTGAAGTAATGATAGCGAAGGCGTTTCCGAACGGTGCGTGAAGAGGTTTCATTGAAAGAAGGAAGTAAAATGTCCCCACGAACTATTATTGTTTTACAGAAGATGTTCAATTCACGCAGCGAAAAGCTGCCTGTCTTCTTTTATGCGCTATGGCATGCTTTGCTTATGTTGACTGGGATATCGAGTATCTTATAGACAAGTTGTAAGTCTATTCCGGACATATCTGATCTGTGATGTATCCCATTTACTACAGTTGTTGTTGATTATCTGTTTTAGTAATGAAATTCTTTCTGTACGAATACTGGTCGAGAATTTCCTTGGCCTATGTCGGTCGTCCGAAAATCCATCAGATGCTTTGGTAGGAAAATCTCTGATCTTTCGCTTGACAAGATCTTCTGATTTGTGATACATTTTTTGCTAGTCTCCCCATAATTTTTCACTTTCTTTAGTTTTTAATTGGTTCTTCCATTTAGCCCCGAGTTATAGCTTTCTTTAGTCAAATCGTTGGTAATTTGAGTGACTATTTTGATAATTTAGTCTACTTCCTTTCACTAGGGTCTGACCCTACGTAGTTTTGGTATTTTTTGAATTTATTTTCTAAATTCTTAGTGTTTCCTGATCTCCCTATGGGCATTACTCGCTCCAATTACAGTTTGCTGAGTGGCTCTTCGCGCGATGGGCTATGTCAGTCGATCGTCGCTTTCGAATTCCACCGCCTCCGGCCAAGCAAACTGTTAATAATCCGTGGGTTCTTGGAGAATTCTCTTTGGGAAACACTCGCGTATTCTTATTGTGTTCTTTATGCTTCTGCCATGAGGTTTCTTAGGTGGGATCTTTATTTCGGCCAACGTTAATTAGTTAGTACATTCGCTAATAATGTAGTAACTGAGTGTAGCCCTACACTCCAGCGGTGGATCTGAGGCCTTTGAAAACGACGTGAAGGTCGAAACGTTGGCCGAAATAAAGATTCCACCTAAAAACCTCGTGGCAGAAGCATAAAGAACACAATAATAACGAACATGCCGAGGTTTCAAGATGAGAGAGCTTGGAGTCTACTCGCATATCCTATCATTCAAGGCTTCTGGTGCCGGATCTTCATCTCACAAAGCACGAAAATATCCGAAAAATGGTGGTCGATACGCGCACATGGCTGCCACAGGCAATAACATCACTGGAGAAATACATAGCGGACGCAGCTGATCTGATTGTGCCTAAAATGGAATGTTTTCTAGCGCCATTCCTTGAGGCAAGTGTTTTGCTCATGGACTTGGAGATTCGGTACTTTTATCAAATCCCGGTAGAGGGCAGTGAAGTCGCGGTTTATTCCTGCAAACGTTTCGAGGAATCTATGATACTTAAATTGCTATGAGTGGAATTGCCGAAGCTGCAAGGCTTTCTTCGTTTTTTTTTCTTTTCGCCATGACCTAAATCACATAGATAATGGTGTTCCCTAGCAACATCCCACTACAGGAATAAGGATGCAAGTGCCAATTGTGCATTAACTTCAACTAGTAATACGGTGCTCATATTATTCTTCAAATCTTCTTTTTCAGAAGGGAGGAATGTCGCTTAGCGTTGGCATTCTTGGTAACAATGTGCTTTGCCAGTGGGCGCCCAATCCCGATCTTTCTCTGTCAACGATCAAAATACCTGCTGCAGATGTGATAAGTGTGGTGAGAAACTTGTTTTTTTTTAGCTCGAGATGGCCTTATTTTAACTTCAACTTACATTTTTTACTCTTCCTATTTGCGAAATTGTGGAATTTGAAATCTATGGTTATAATGCGCTTTTACGTTCCATTACTGAAAGCACAGCTTTATTCATCGCTTGAGGGGAGCTTTGCTTGATGTCCATTAGAACGCTAGAGGTCCGAACTGTTAAGAGGGCTTCCAATAGAGCTGAATGCAATTTGGCAATGATTTTATGACCTTGGACTCTCTCTAGGTATCTTCACGGGCACGTTAGAAATCTTGAAGGAGCAATGTTGCCTTGGGTGGAATGATCCGACGCGTTCCGCTGGCACCCGTCCACAGCATCAGGGTATAGGTGGGGTGTCGCTCAGTGATCGACCATCCGTGTCTTGCCACGGAGTGTTCCTTATATCCCGAGGGCGGTGAATACCTTTGAGTATGCAGCGAGTCCATTCTGCTGGAACCAGCTTATTTGGAGCAGACTTCGGAAAGCTAATAGACATGAGGAGCGACCTATTTTATTTCAATGTGCTGCTCCGATCTGAGCCTCAAAATCTTGTGAATATGGATGGAGAAGGTTTCATAGCACATTCTATCCCTTTACATTACTTCTGGAATACAATTTAGAGTCGCTTCGACCTGCTTCAATTTCACTTTGCTAATGGTGCTGTAGACACCGCTCAGGAGCTGCTCAAATTGGTAGGATTACTGTATATATTTCTTTCCAGCATACTTCTATTATGTGCAGTGTTTAAGATGACTCTACCATCCACTCAACTTCCACTATTCTGCGTTGACAAGAAAATTCTACACGGCTTCTACCTGGCGCTAAATGTACCGTCTCCATTACCTCCGGCACCAACAACAGTCAAGGAGTTTATACCTGATCAGAAGGTCAGTTTAGCATGTCGTACTATTAAGAACTTACTTCTTTAATTGATTTCAAAAAAGGGGCTAAAAACGGGGACAGTAGTGGTTTTGGAGAAATGCTCGTAATTTGGTCCTTGTCGAGTGAACAGCGGAAAGGTTAAAGGCAACAGCTATCTGGTGCCAGCTGCGTAAGATGTAGTAGATATTTCTGCTGCGGAGTGTAGGAACTTGTCCTTCTCAAGTCCTACCCATATCAGTAATCCTTTTTTTCAAGGTGGTACAATTCTTGCAGGCCTACGTTGGCATGGATGGGCCTTCGCTAATAATTGTACAGGCCAAAGTACGCAATGCTGTGCCCAAACCACCCCAAGAGAAAATTCGGGCCGTGGCTAATCGCAGTAGACTGGCAATCCTACCGCCACATTGACATCTGCTTAGTGATCGACGTTGTGATACAGCACTTAGGTCTTCTCGCCTACGCGAGCATTGATTCGTTCACGTACACAAAAGGATAATTGGAAAAATGAATAATAACGTTTATGCTGTTTTCTCTTTCAAATTCTGAAATGGTGTTAATAATAGGTGGGCTAGATTGGCTTAGGTGAAAGCTCGTCAATGGCAAAACAGAGAAAGTGCTGGTTCGAATACCGTCCGAAACAGCACTTAACAAACAAAATAAACCCTGCTGCTGATCATGGACGAAGTTTTTCGAAGTGTTTCTAATAATCTGGCACTCTTGATATTCTGAGCACTTGATTCATTCAGTGAAGTTTGTCTCTGTTCCTTGAACATGAGGATTTTTAGCTGCTTACGGACGACTCGTCTGCTTTCCGCCGTTCGAGAATGTGGAGACTCCGTGCGATCAAAAGAACAGCTGGTCAGCTCCAGGTATGAATATCTTTTGCTGATCTGCCTTGAAGTGGCTCCATTTTAATGCTTGTGTATTTTTATAGGTGGCTTTCCGATCAGAAAACGCCGCCAAAGATGTGATTGAAGGCGTAGCTACTTGCTTCCGACAACGTCTGACAGAGAAAGTTCGTGCAGCAGCGATTTATAAAGGTGCCGCAGTTTTGTCTCAATGTCGAAGTGCCTGCAAAACACGAAAAATATTTCATAACGGGGGGGGTATAGTTGCGATTTTGGGGTGAGGCGAGGGTTGCATTTTGTGGTTGAGCAAGGTCCAAAAAGGGGTTGTGTTGGACGGGATGTTCGAAGAGTTTGCGAATGTTCCACAAAAGTAGGGTAAACTATACAAAATTGGTGAATTTGCCGCCTCGTGACATGATCCTATTCCCCTTCCTCCCTCCGCCCTCGCTCGACGGCCAATTTGGAGGGAAAAGTGGGCGGAGTTCAGATGTGTTGACTGTTCCCAGGTCTTGGAATAAATACTATAGAAACAGCCATGATGGTGAGGGTGATGATCGGATTAGGTAGGTGATATTTTGCATTGGGAGAGCCTCGTAACACGGTAGTGGTGGTGGTGGGGAGGAGGGAGGGTTGCAAAATTTTTGGAAAAGTGCGAACGAGACGGTTGAGACTGGTAGGGAGTGCAGGATATCAGATGCGCACACTTTCCTTCCATCTACTGCCAATGAAAATGGGGCCAAGCGTCCATAACGGGAAAGGTCATACGGTCTACGGCGTCATTTATTCGAACCCAAGAACACGATTGAAATAGTCGGGACCCATTTACCCTTATCCGTTCCACTCTTTGGAGAACGGCTCCATTTTTTTTCTTGAAATTTTCCTTTGAACGTGGTTTTCGCTAAATTTGCCCTGGGCGTCTTCATGACCACGTTCGCATGCAGTCGGGGCCTGTGACACGGGTTTAGCCCTTCCCTT